CCCCAAAACCCCAAAACCCCAAAACCCCGTATATGAAAGATAAACATCTGATAGGAAATTTTAAAAATTCATGATGCCTATCTAACGTTCTAATTTTTAAATCATCAGTTAATTTTAAGTTATAATTGCTTGTGAGTCTTCTTTATGAAAGAGATGCTAGGTACTAATAATATCACATAATCCAAAGCTTAACATGCCCTAATCACACAAAACTCTGGTCATAGCCTTTAAAGCCATAACTAGACCTATTAATTCCAGGTTTAGCAATAGCAGAGTCAATAGTAGTTGCTAAATAATGGTCAGAGTGTCTGGTCAGCGATGAAATAAGATCTATTTATTCAGAATTGGAGTATGAATAATGTCTGCAATAACTAACATGATCTTAATACCGCAACTTAGAACTATAGATAATAATAACAATACCAAGAGCAAAGCAAGCAACTCAACGTCTAGTAGTCGCATGTATAGAGAAAGTCATTTTTCTAACAGAGACAGGAGCCCCAAGGTTTTTCAAATAAGCAGGTTGGTAGTTGTGCATCTGCAACTACTTAACTTATTCATACAAACTTGATCCCTGCTTACAATTCAAACCTCAATTACTACACATCGTAAATTCTTAGCCCCTTAGACAATTATAGTCACTAGAATATCCCTTCATATCTCGATAGCAAGAAGGGTGATTAGAGGCATCAACATCACTAGAGCAATAACTTTAGCAATTAGAATAGAAAGAATAGTGGAATTAACAATCGCTAACAGTCATCTCACAAGCCAACAGGAACATTACTGAAAGAAAATACTTAAAATCAGTGGTCCTAATCTAAACTAATCACTGAAGTTCCTGTAAATAAAAGCTAGTAACAAAATCATAACCCATGGGTTAATAATAGCATGACCTACCAAGTTGCATCAAGACCTAAGAACTAGAATCAGTAATCGCAATCGCACTAGATCTAGGAGTAAAATAAGGAAACATTATCTGATATTCCTAAATCCTAATTGATTGAAGAGAAATAACAACAAACTATTATTTAATAACAATCTACTATCATTTCATAACAATAACCAACTGCCACTACCGCTTCATCGATGATGAGAAAGAAGTATGAAATGTGTAAGAATTTCAAGGAGAAGGGTGTCTGCAAATATGGTGAGAAGTGCTTATTTGCTCATGGTGAACATGAACTCAGTAGAAGAGAGACTGAGGTTAAAAAGGTTGAGGTTGTTGAGAAAGAAAATATGACTGTTGAAGCCGTTGAAGAACTACCTATCAAAATATCAACCCCGGCTAAGTAATCAAATACTGTAACCATAACTCAGGATTCAGCCAAAAAACCTGTTCAACTAATGTCACCCACCTAAGTACTCATTTCTTCTATAAGTACTACCAAGATTCAAAAGGCCCCTAGTCAATAAAGTGTTTTCCCAGAATTTTTATGCTAACTACTCGGAATTTAAGAAACTAAAGAGGGAAAGGGAATCTAAAGAAATCGTAAGAGATTACCCATTTTTGAAGACATCACTAAGTCCAATTCAGCCAAGAAGACTTAAAACTTCCAATAGCACACAACAGAGTCAACTGAAGGAGATGATGATGGATAGATGGACTATTCAGAGTCATGGAGGTTAATGTGCTTGGATGAAGAAAGTCAATGTACTTTTTCTTGTAAAAAATCTCCTTTAAATTACTAAAAAGACGAGATACAGATAAATAACGGCATCTTTGTTAGTTGTTTCTCAAATCAAAGCAACAAGAATGATGATATGATTGAAAATATTTTTAGCTAGGAGTAGAATTGTAATGAATTCTCGCTCTTCAGCAATGACTTTTACTTAGGAACCTTTGGAGATATCATTGATAAGTCCTTTTGCCATCAGTTAGTTGATATTCAACTTCCTTAAACTTCCAGCAATATCATCGAGCTCAATCAAGAGTCCTAAGGAAACGTCCCTCGTGACATCTGGGCACAGGTAGATTAGATTAACTTTCTGAACGACTTTGATCTTCAACCTGCCCTATTGCTTCAGTGAGTCGCGTACTTCTTCTGAACTGTTGCAGTGTCCTAAGACTTACCCATTAGGCATATAAACTGCAGCTACTTTACTTTTATTCAAGATACTTTTATTTTATTTTTGAACACAAACATAATATACTTAATATACAATTTTTTTAGCTTATGTGGGGTTTTGGGGTTTTGGGGTTTTGGGG